TTTTACAATCAATAAAAGGCGAAGGGGAACTTTTGTTGTGTGTATTTGCTGTATTCCTTTTTTTTGCACCAAATCTGATTTTTTGTTTGTTTGATTGATTTATTTATTTTTTACACCAAATCTGGTTTTCCATTTAATAATCCCAAAATTTGGGTATTTTCTTATAAGGAGATGATAAACTGGTTTTGGGGGACTGGCATGACATGAAGAGGGCAAATAATTCCTTCTCCCCTTTCAAGGAGTTCATCGCAAAGATGGAGATGAATGAATTTGCCTGGAAAGGTTATGCTTTTACGTGGGATAACAGAAAAGAAGGTGAAGGCTATGTCGAGGAGAAAATGGACATAGTCTTTGGGTCCCTAAGCTTCTTGGCGAAGTACTCTAATGAATTTGTCTCTAATATCTTCAGGAGAAATTGAGCGGTTGAACAAGAAGTTGGCTGAGATGCATTACCAAGGAGGTTTGAGGGACTTTAACCTTTGGGATTCCTTGCACAAGCAACTAATTGAGGCTAATAAGGAGGAAGAGCTTTACTAGAAGCAAAAGGCAAGAGTAGCTTGGCTCAAGGATGGGGACAAAAATTCGAGATACTTTCATGCCTGCACTCTGCAAAGGAGAAAAACTAATTCAATCCTCAAATTTAAAATGAAGATCAATCTGTTAGTGAGACTCGAGTAGAAATAACAACTAGTATCGAGGAGTTCTACCAGAGACTTTTCAGTTCAGAAGGATCAAGAGGAAATGAGTTGTTGCAAGATATCACCTCAGTCATTCCCGAGGAAAAGAATACAAAACTAGTGGGGTTAGTGGGAATTGAGGAAATAAAGGAAGTGTTGTTCAACATTAATCCTCATAAAGCTCCTGGACTAGATGATATGACCTCCACACTTTTTCAGCATTCTCGAATTTCTTAGCACTTGATATTTGCATTATGGTTTTAATGTTTTTTTAGTCAAGTCAAATTTTAAAAGGCATTAATCATCTTCTTGTTACTTTGATTCCTAAAGTACATAACCCAACTTATGTTACTCATTTCAAACCTATTAGCATGTGAAGTGTAACTTATAGAATTATATAAAAAATTCTAGCTAATAAGCTCTAGCCTTACATGTTATGTTGCGTAAGTGAAAACCAAGTTGTTTTTGTCCCAAATAGGCAAATCCTGGACAACATCATTGTTGCTTAAGATGTTATGATTTTTTAATAGACATAGGAGTGGCAGGAACTGTTACATGGCCATTAAGCTAGATATGGCTAAGGCTTTTTACAAAGTTGAATGTGATCCTGTAAGACTGATTATGCTTAAGTTGGGTTTCCATCCTTCTTTTGTGACATAGATAATCGTTTGCATCTCTTCTCCCACCTTATCTTTTAATATAGATGGTGTTGTTGCTGGTTCTGTGAAGCCTATTAGGGTTAATAGACAGGGGGATCTCTTATCCTTTTTTTTTTGAAACGATAGAATATTATAAAACGAGAAAACAAATATGTACAGCTGCCACGAAGGCAGGATAAGTGGAGTGCTAACAATAGCGACCTAGCACTAAACAACACAAAGAAAAGGCCATCGTGTTGGCGAGACTAAGCTCGACTCCAACATTAGACCTAGACTTCCAACGAGTAGCTAACACTACTAAAAATAGCAAAATGAGATAACTGAAACTGGAAGGCTCCCTATCAGTTACCCCACTAGCAAAATAACTAACTAAACGACTAAACAACAACTTGTAATAAGAAGCTTGAGCAAGAGACCCTAGACTAGCAAGATCGAGGACCCAAGGTTGAGAATTTCTTCCAAGATGAAGCTGCAGATTGAGTTATATTATATTCTGAGACCCAAAAGTTTTGGAATACCCACAGGTTCCAGGCTTTTCAAATCCACCAGAGAAGGTATGCTGTGTATTGGATCCTTTTCAAGGAGAGAGGAGAGGGGTTTATGCAGTAAACTTTCATCCACCAACTTTTGAAGGAGTATGTTTCATTTGCCAGGCCTTCCCATGTAACTGCAGCCAACTTCCACACTTTTTCTGATCTGCTACAAGGGAACAAGAGATGTTCAAGAGATTCAGGAGCTTCACCACAGGATTTTCAAGTTGGATCAATGGTTGATTTTCTTTTCAGGAGGTTAAGGATGACTGGTAGAATATTTGAGAAGCATTTCCATAGGAAATGCCTTACCTTGCCTGCAATGTTGAGTTTCCATGTTAATCTTCTGGTTTTTAAGATGGCAGCTTGCTGGTGGCTACATTCTGGGATATCTAACTTTGACCATTTTTTCTGAACTAACATGTCATAAACAGCCGCAACTGAAAACTTACCATTCTTGCTAGGATCCCAAACAATATTATCAGTGCTGTTTGTGTTAAGATCTTGGATATTGAGAATAACCATTCTTTCCTCTGGTGGGAAGCATCTCTGGATGATCTCTTATCCCACTATATCTTTATTCTTATCTCTATTTTTTTCCTCATAAAAAAAGAGGCGCTCAAAATAAACTTTCACGGAGTGAAAATCTCTAGGCACATCCATCCCTCACACATTTTCTGATGACACCTTGATTTTCAAAATCCAATGAGACTCATGCCCTTTTGATCCTTGAAATCCACAATCAATATAACCTGTCTCTGGCCAAAAGGTGAACTTGGAAAAGTCAACAGTCAAAAGGTGAACCCAGAAAACACCTACGTCCATGCAAAGAAATTTATGTCAAATTCTGTTAGTTATCAAAATCTACTAATTAACCAGATACAATGATTTCTTTTAGGTTTATGTAGATCCAAAGCAGAAACCTTCAGACTCATTCAGGAAAATGTTGAGAAACAGTTTTAAGTTGGAAATTTTTTTATTTCGTCTTTTGCAGGAAAAGAAGTGCTACTCAAGTATGTCCTTACAGCTCTCCCAATCTATGTAACGAGTTGTTTTATGTTGCCAAGATCTCTGACTGCAAAAATAGCTCAGTTCTTAGTCCTTTTGGTGGAATAAAGGGATAAAGGACAAGAAATCAATACACTGGAAGGCCTGGCATTCTTTGACCTTGCCAAAGAAGAGAGAAGGACTAAGGTTTCTTGATCTGCACCTGCTCAATCAAGCCTTAATTGCAAAATAAATGTGAAGGCTACTAACGAATCCAAATTCTTTGGCCAGCAAAATTTTGAAGGAAATGTACTTTCCCAAGTACAAAGTACAAAATCAGAATCTTGGATGTAGAAAAATTGACTGGAGGTGAGAGGAATTTCATGGAGAATGTAGGTAAAAATCAATGATGGCATCTCTCGTAAGGTATGGGACAATCCCCAAATTTTTGGAGTCCAAATTTCAAACCATAGAAGCTTCATTCTTCGTCCTCCCCACTGCAGCTCGTCAAAGATTTTCTTGACTCAACTGGAAGGAGTTGAAACATTGAGACTCTGAAGCATAATTCACAGACAGAAATATCAAGCAATTCTCAAAATCATATGGATGGAACCAGGAAAACTTGCTAGATTAGAATGAGACAATGAGATACAAGGCAATTTATTTGTAGTCTCATCCCATGCAAAGCTTGTAGCTCACAAGTGGACCTGCTAGACCTTCCAGAAAGCAGCACAGATAAAAAAAGTATCTCACAGAGTTATGAAGAGGTTCTGGGGACTTTAGTGATGGGACCGGTGTTACAAATTAACATACAACAACCTATCTACAGCAGATACTAAAAGGTTTAGAGTCGAACACTTAGGACTTAAAAATTGCAGACTTTTAGACGTTGTAGATTTATGTTGACGGAGATCAGTTACTTTTCAGTCGTTGGAAATAGCCTCGTTCAGATGTCTCAGGGTCGCCGGGAAGCTCACGCAGGTGAACTGGTCGCGCAAATGTGTTGGTCCCTAGGGAGAGCTCACGAGAAGATCGCGGGTCACTGTTGCATGCAGACTGTGAGTGGTGGTCGCCAGGACTGCGTCTCGGTTGATGGCGTCTGAGGATGGGGCGTGCAGTGGCCGCTGGGAGGCTCGTCAACCTCGAAGTCTTCTACTGTATGACTCGACACCTCTCCGGTTGTCTCGGTGGAACAAAAAATCCTAGAGAATAACTTACTAGGGAACTAGGGTAAACTCCCGTGTATATGCGTGCGTATGAGGTGATGCCCAATCTCAGGAGCTTAATGGCATATTTATAGGGTTACAATAGGGACTCTAAGGAGGTGAATATGTGGGCTTCTTAAGTATTGGGTCTAATTGTAGGCTATGTCCTCTCTGCTCAATAACTTAAATAATATTTCGGTCTACTAACCAAAAATTATTGTACTCCCTCATCATCCCTGAATTATATACGAAACCATTTGTTATGTTTTTGTGGTATTTTATTGTGCTTTATGTGCCTTTGTCGAGTCGTTTTTAGGTTCGTTTTAGTGTCAACCGGTTTATTTTATCATATTTTATGTATTTTTATTCTCATTATGTGTTTTTGTATTTTGTCGTATTTTCTTGCGTATTTTGGTGTTGATTAGGTCTACATTGTTCGAGCCGGGACGACGAGCCATTTTTGAGCAACTTCCGAGCCACCTGGACCAACATCGAGTCACCTGAGCCACTTGATCGTGCCGCGAGCCTAGCCCGAAGACAACTAGCCTTGGATTGGACTCGCTCGTTCGGCGCCCCGCGAGATGGCGCGCATGCACATTAGGCTCGAGCACTCGCTGCAGAACTCCTTTTGCGATCAGCGAAACCAGGCGCACGCATGACCCCAGGTGCGACGCTCGCTACGAATTGTCTTTGCACCGCGCCAAACGCGCACCCCAGGACTCGCGTACTCGCTGCGAGTTTAATCTTGCGGCCTGCGAAGCGGCCGGCGCGTGACAGAACCAGACAACAACACTCGCTGCAAGTTCATTTCCGCGGTCTACGAAGCGGCTGACGCGCGACACTCCCACTTGCTGTACTCGCTCCGAACGAATTTTAGCAACCCGTAAAATGCGCCAAACTGCACTTCTCCATGACCACACTCTTTGCGAAACTGGTTTCGAGACCCGCGAACTGCGGAATTTTAGTAAATTGTGTGTTTCTAATGTGTGTGTTTGTGGTGTAGCTATAAATAGACATTGTGCTTTGTATTTTTGGACAACCCCCTCATTTCCCAACTTTCAAGTTGGGAAATCCTCTCTATTTTCTTTTTTTTTTTTATGTTTTGGTTTGGAGGTTCATAACTCATTTTTCTGGCAAAATTTCGGCAAGCTTATTTTTATTCAAATTTCGAGCTTTGTTCATTATTTTCATCCGACCATGCAATAGAAGAGTAAGTACCTTGCTTAGGACTTAGTAATTCGAGTTTGTTCTTCGAATTTTGTGTTTATGCTCGTTTCTAGGTGTTGACAACCGAGTTGGTCCCAACTGGACCGGATACTCAGCCCCTCCGGATCGAGACGAGAACCCGGCCTGGTGAGAAA